CAAACGGGCCAAAGGACTTTCCCAAAGTCTCACAGGCAGTAAATGTCAGAAATGGAACTTGAACCCATGGCCTCTGACTCCAGAGCCAGAAGAGCTCTTTCTGATGTATCTCTTCTTCCTCATTTAAGGGGGCTTAGGTATGTGGCCATAGGAGCATAGACCTAAAACTGGAAGAGACCTTATGGGTCATCTGATGCAGCCTAATCATTTTACAAGAGGAGGGGAGGAAGTCAAAATCTTGGGGAAGTAAATATTGAAAACTAAAAATAAATTTATATTTAAAAAAAAAAAAAGGAGGAGGAGAACCTGAGAGGCCCAGAGCTGAAGTGACCTGCCCAGGGTCACGCAGGTGACAGAGCCAGAATTTGGACTCTTGTGTGGAGACTCCAACTTAACTCCAACTCAGTGTTTTTTTCAGTGCACTGGGATGCCTGGAAACAGTACTAAGTCATTGGGTTTTTTGGTTTATACCATGTCATGCAGGTTTAGATGGCCCACTTCACAATACATCCTGTATCCTTGGTCTTAGTGCTATATGTCGTTCCTAAATGAGCCATCCCTTAAAATTTACTTAGGAGCAAACCTTCCAGGTTGTCTGTCTCAGGAGGGAGGCAAAGTGTGATGCAGTGAGAAGATGCTGGTTTTGGAGTTAGGATCTGGGTTCGAATCTCAGCTCTACCATAGACAACCTATTGGGCCTCAGTTTTTCCCTCTGTAAAATTTGGGCAAGATGACTTTCTAAAGGTCCCCTCCATTTCTAAATACTATTTATGATGGCGTGCATATTTTAAAATGACTTTGATTCTTTGGTTCTGTGACTACTGGGAATAGTTAGGGTTGTAGATTCAGAGTTAAACAGGACTGTATCAAGCCCAACCCCCTCATTTCATAGCCAAGGAAGCCAAAAGAGATTAAATGATTTGTTCAAGGTCACACAGGTAAGTGCCAGAACTGAAATCTAGACCTTTGGTTCTAAATCTAGGGCTTGTTCCACTAGTTTTTACTACCCTCCAATAACTGTTTCTAGAGAGATTATCAAGTTGGAAGTCAAACTGGCAGCAGCACTGAGTTTTTCAAGGAGGCTCTAGTTGTAGGAAGAATTGTCTCATTGAAAAGACTGCTAAGCAAGGAGCAGGAAGTACCTGGATTTCAGTCCTAGCTTTGCTACTGTTTGGCCTTGGGCTGGTCATTGGAACTGTAACATGGGGGAAATAAAATTTGGAAAACCCTTTGCCAAGTAATGGACGCTTGACAGGTGCTAGAGTTTGTTAGCCTAGAAATTCCAAGTTGGGAACCATGAAGTTTTAATACTGAAAAAAAAACAACCCTAACAGAGCTCTCAGATCTCCTCCCCCCTCTCCCCTCCATGTAGCATGTTGCCTAAGCCAGACTTGAAAGGAGGGAACTTCCATGACTTTCTCCAGGTCCTTGCTGCTGGGGGCAGTCTGACTGTCCACATTCTGTGCTGTCCTTTACCAAGTGCTAATGAAGGTACACAGATGCCCTGAGAAAAGGAAGAAATGAGTACATCATGGCAAAAATGTTCTTTGTACCGACTCCCTGCCCCTTTCCACCTTGTGCAATCCATATGCCAAAGCTCAGCGCTGTGGTGTCACCCTTTGTTTGGGGGCAGGGGTTGTTTATTTGTGCCCAAGAATGGAGAAAATAGCCCAAGCTCTTGCACAACTTGAACTCCACTGCTTCTCCCAAATGTTCTAAGATCAAATATAGACGACTTCAGTTTGACAAGCAACTCGCCTCCCAGGCAACCAGCAGTGGGCCTTGCCAAGCATGTGGTCATTTTTAGTTTTGTGTTTGTGGCTGAAAGCATCTTGCTTCACTTTCCTTGTATACCAAAGCTCTCCTAAATCTCCAACCCTTAATTCATGGAAATGCACGTGGAGATGTCAAGACTGGCTTCCATTAGCTGGCTACCTATGATGGGAGACAAGGTGTGTCCACAATCAGCTCAGCTCAGGGCTTTGCACTTTGCCAGTAAGAAGACGAGCACCCCAGCCCACCACCCCACCACCCCACCACCTCCACTCCTGCCAGACACAGCTGCTCAAAGCTTCCTTTGTCTGGGTGTTCCACTTCTGTCTCTTACCTTATACTAAGCTGTGTCTCATCCCAGGAACACCCCTCCCAACTTGCTCCAGGAAACAATTCTTGTTTCTAATTCCCATCCCTCAAGTAGGGAACCTTCCAGATGAGAGGTGACAAGTTTCTGACCCGTGGGTTTTTTTGTTTTTTTGTTTTTGTTTTGGTTTGTTTTGTTTTCTAGTTTAGAACTTTTCCATCTACTCCTTCCCCCTTTGTTCTGGAAGTCATTAAGATAAATGGCAGAATAGCCATTCACTCTAAAGACTCCACTTTGATCATATTCTATTTCTTTGCTCAAGGACCAGTGATGGTTTCCTGTTGCCCATTGGCTCAAGTCCAAAATTCTCATTCTGACGTTCAAATACAAAGCCCTCTGTAATTTGATCCCATGTGATATATATCTGTATCTATATATAAAGTTTCTTCTATCCAATCTTCATGTTCCTATTGTTCAGTTGTGTCCGACTTTTTGTGACCCCAGTTGGGGTTTTCTTGGCAAAAATACTGGAGGAGTGTTTTACCATTTCCTTCTCCAGCTCATTTTATAGATGAAGAAACTGAGGCAAATAGGGTTAAGTGACTTGCCCAAAGTCACACAGCTAGAAAGTATCTGGATTTGAACTCGGAAAGATGAGTCTTCTTGACTCCTGGCCTGGTACTCTTATCCATTTTGTCACCTAGCTGCCCATCTTATTTCATGTTATTCCACAAAATGTGCTTCTGTAATATGAAGCAGGTTTGCTCACTTTAAGACCCAGTTCAAATCTCCTCTCCTATACATCTTCCCTCCCCACAGCACTATCTGTTTAATACATGAAGCACAATAAACCGAAAGAATAAAGCTCTTTGCTTGTATTCCATTTTGCACTTTATTTTATTCTGCCACATTTAGTTCTCTATTTTCTTCAACCTTTTCTCCCTAATTTGATTGTAAGTCCTTCAAAGTCAGAGTCACCTTTTGTATTCACTCTTCTCCACACACCAGTGCCTACTAAGCATATAACTAGGCACAAAAAAAGCTGGTAATAAAGATTTATTGAACTGGTTTTACTGTGATCTTCCATATGGCAAAATAACGCTCATGATCCTCTTCAGCAGGTCATGTTTTGAGTGTGTTCCTAGTAGGAACCTAGTAGGCTTGGATGATACTGTGCCATCCCATTTTGACCCAGGCTCCCTCAAGATCTACAGCACATTTGAGACAGCTAGCTAGGATTGGGGATCCAAGTTGGGGTTTCTCTAAAGTTAGATGGCCCAGTCAGGAGTTATACCCGTGATCTCCCTGGTGCCTGAGCCACTAAGTAAACCAGTGCCCTTTCTGCAGACCCTGAGTGCCACTCAGCCAAAATGTTTTGGTTTGAAGGAGAGGCTATTTAGAGGCCCTAGGGAATAATGCTAAGGCTGGAGGGAGGCAGCGTTAAACCCTACCCTCAGACAAATGCCTAGGTGGGTCAGGATTCCTCTTGTAACCATATCAGTTTTGGGGGAGAGGGAGCACCGAGCTATGAATGCAGTTATGTTCCATCCCAGGGTGCATGGTAATAAAATAAGGGTCTGGGTGTCTTCAGTCCACAGGCACAGTTCATGGTCATCTCAGAGCAGGCAACAGTGGAGCACTTGGGTTGCTTTCTCATGAGGCCAATGAGGAGACCTGCCAGCTGTGGGGAGGGCAGGGCCTCTGTGTCCTCCCCCATATGTTTTATTCCCTCTTGCCTCTGTACTGTTGTTTACACTGTTCCTGGCACATGAACTGCCTTTTTATCCTCACTGATCCATGTCCTTCCCTTCCTTCCAAAGCTGACTTAAGACTCTCCTCTTCCCAGAAAATCTTCCCTGTTTCACCCCACCCCTGACACTTGAGACCTTAACACCTGTGACCTACCCTTTTGCTCCTGCTGGTACATATATGTTGTTTTATAACGTGTTTTTGAGTTGTTTCATGTGTGTAGTTTCCTCTGTTAGATTGGCAGTTCTCTTGTGGGCAGGGACTGTCACCTCACATTGGCCCTCGGGATTGGGAACAGTCTTGTTTATTACCAAGACTGGGAGCTCCATGAGGGTGGAGATGGGAGGAGGGAGGGGTGGTCTCCCTGATCACATTTGGAACTCTGCTTTGAGTATGATGATCATACGATAATTCTCTTTTTACAGTGCTTAACACAATCTCACAACTAGCCAGGCTCACCTAAACTTGTAAGGCAGACAGCTGAATATCTGACATTTTACTAGCTGGGCTAGCCATAACTTCTCTGGGTTCCAATTCTTCATTTGTAAAATGAGGGGGTTCAGCTAGATGACTTCTAGGGTTCCTTTTAGCTTTAAGTCTGTGATTGTTTATGACTCTGCCAAGCCACTGAGTAGTATCCAGGGTGTCTGGGTTGTTTAAGCTCCCTCTCTTCCTTTCTCCTTGGAAACAGAATTGAGGCTCTGTTGCCTTTAGGTGAGGAGTGGGAGGTGAGAACAGAAACAATGGAGCTGGTTGGCAAAGAGAGTCAGGTTTTGGTGGGAATGCTAGGCAAACAAACACCAGACCCCCCAGATCTTGTGCCTGAGAGAGAAGCCCCCAAGGGTTTTTGGAAGAAAAAAGCAGGCTGTCCAACAAGATGTCAGCACATTTTAACATAGCAGCAATTTTACAGGAGAGTACTCTATACTCAAAAAAGACACAGTCAGTTTGGTATCAGTGCAAGGCCGGTGTCAAATGCCAGTGGGAGATTATATTTGGGGATTCTGGGAGGCTAGCAGACACATGGATAAAGGGTTAGCCTCTTCAGATGTGGTCTCCGGGTGATAGGGGGATTGGGGATAGGGGGAGCTTTCATTCTTGGTAGCCTGGGGTCAAGGTTTCCACTCTGACCCTTGGCCCTTATCTTCCCAATCCACATAGAGGGCTGAAAATGAAAAAAAAAATTGAAAAAGATTAAGATTCTGGAATGACAGAATTTCAGAGGCAGAGAAGACTTGAGAGGATCTTGATCCATTCCCCCATTTTACAGATGAGGAATATGGGAGTTAGGGAAGTGGAGTGTCTTGTCCAAGGTCACAAAGAAGAAAGTGGCAAGAGTAGGTCTCCTCCCTCCTTAGTCCAGGGCTCTTGTCATCTCCTGGTTATTGAACCTGTAGGCATATGTGGTGTTTTTTATTTGTCCACATCTTCTGAGAAATTTCAAGCTTCTGTCAGGCAAGGACTCTGGTAAAACTCTGTACTCAACTCAGTTATAAGAACGAATAGAATAGAAAGGAAACAGTGGCCCTAGAGGATACCAAAACACTAGTTAATCCCACAATTCCCTTCCCTCTAGTTTTGGGATGCCTTCTATGACATTTGAAAGGAAGGCCTGGAGCACTTACAGAGGGGACTTGGACTACATGATCCCAGTTATAACATTTGATGATTCCTCTCTAAGTACAAAGTGTTAGGGTATTTCATTCTCCCAATAGATTTACCTTCCTAAAGATGTTTGCCTTAGGTCGTTAGTGGAATGCACTTATCACCCTCAGCACCCAGAACAGAGGCTAGAGAAAGACGTTCTGGGAGCGTGATGAGTGTAGTGTGGTGGGGAGAAGCCCGATTTGAATTAATATCTTTGGAGTTAAGTTTCTCTGTGAAGTCCACTTCCGGGTAGACTAGTGAGGTCAGTGAAGTTCGTCTTTGAGAGCCCTTCCATCTCTTCTTCACCTCCCTACTCTTTGCATCTCATGGTTCTTAAGCAGACACTTAACTTTAACCACAATCACAATAATTATCGTAGCTCACATTTATATTATACTATAAAATTCACACAGCTTGGTATATCCGTTATCTCATTTGAGCTTCACAACAACCCTTGAAGGGCAGATGTGATTATTCCCATTTTATAGATGAGAAAACTGAGGCTTAGAAATATTGAGGGACTTGCCCAGGGTCATACATTTAACACATTTCCCAGAACAGGATTCAAACCAGAGTCTTCCTAATTCTATGTTCAATATGTCAGCCCAGTTTGCTTAGGTGCTAACCCAAATCCTTGGAAGGTGATGCCCCCTGCCAGCAATACCTGCATGGAAAACCCTAGAGCCAAAAGAATGAATCTCTAATGGTGAAATTTCAGGACCTGAAGCAGGCAACAGCAGAGACTCTTTTGGACACCTTGAGGATTCTTTTTTCAAATATCAATAAAACTCCTGATGTGGTGTTGCTTTAGAATTTACAAGGCCCCTTTATGTACTTTTACATGATTTGGTTTTTGAAACAGCCCTGTGAGGTGGACAGGATAGGTATTCAAGTTTTAAATTGCAGAGACTTAGCTGTAACTTACGCTTTTAAGTTAATTGCCAATGGCAACTAAGAGGTTAAATAACATGTCTGTGGTTACACAGCTATTACGTGTTATAAGTAGGGTTTGAACTAGGTCTTCCTGATGGAGAAGCTAGCTCTCTCTCCATTCCAGCATGATGCCTCTCAGGTTAGATTGTATTACCCCTGTGTTACAGATGAGTTCAACTTGAGTCTCAAAGAAATGAAGTGATTTTCTCACACAGCTAGTGAGTGACAGATTTGGGATTCAAAACCAGATATTATGAGTCCCCCATTTCCAATTGTCTCTCAACTATCTCTCTCCATAGGTATGAAATTCTCTTCAAAAGAGACTGGTGAGCTGATGTTAGAATTGGGATTAGGAGGGCAAAGAAGTCAGTTTCATAGCAGGCCATATTCCAGGTGCTACTGCTAGGCCCACTTATTCTTTCCTCTCACCCACTCACTCCCATACCTCATTTGCCATTAGAAAAGGTCCAAGGGGAATCTTACTGAGGGAAATAGGGTCAGAGCTTGAGTGGGAGCTCCTTGTCCTAGGAATAATAATGATAATAACAATAATCTAACATTGACATAAGGCTTTATATGTGCTGGGCTCTGTGCTAAGCACTTTACAATTATATTATTTGGTCCTCACAACAACCCTGGGAGGCAGCTATTATCCCTATTTTACAGATAAAGAAACGGAGGTAGCACGTTTCTGAGCCATCGGACGTTGCTCAGCATCCTGGATTTGTTGGGATTTACTTACCTGACTTGGAGGGGTAGGTGACCCACCTTGTCAAGGGGTGCCATTTCCTTGGGCTGAGACAACTTTGGGGCTTTTTTATTGAGCTGCACTGGGGACCGACCACCTGGGGAATGTCACCCACCTTGGTTAGTTGATCTCCCCATGAGGCCTATAAACATGTCTTCTTGGTGCCCTAATGTGAAGGTAGGGGGAGTAGACAGACAGAGACAAGGAGAGACAGAAAGAGAGTGCTTTTGTCTTAAGAGCTGTGACAGGGCTGGAGGCCTGTGTTTTCTAAAAAGATACTTGTTGGTTTTCTAGGGTTTTGGAGGAGGGGAATTATGACTTTGTGGATGATTCATGGTTACTATTCTTTTTAAAATTTTTTATTTAAAAATTATGTATTATATGATATATTTAATAAACAAAAATTTATTTTCTTTTCCTGTGTGTTTACTTTTCAAAGCCCAGATGATGAGCCCTCCCAATTCCCCAGCCTGTGGCAGGGCTAAATTTTCTTCTCTTTCCTTCCCTTCTCCTCACCTTTCTCTCATGTCATTTGACCCTGTGAAATAGGTATTGTTATTCCCATTTTAGAGATGAGAAAAATGTGGCTAAAGAGGTTGGGTACCTTGCCAAAGATCATACGGATGATGTCTGAGATAAGCATTCAATCTCATCCCTTTCCTGACTTCACACTTTTCACTACACCACATTGATCTCGTCTTAACCCCTCCATCATTCCCCATGTACTAAACCCACCCTCTCTAGGGGAAGGTAGCTTGTGATCAGGACTGTGCTTGCTCTACCCACTATAGAGCAGACCTGCCTGGCTGACTGCCCTGGACTCTGGCAGCGTGCCTCTCCTCTCTTCCTATATGTTTTGGGGAGGGAGACCTTTGGAAAGAGGCCACCAAGGGGAATAGTGTAAGCATCACTTACCTTTGTTCTCCACTGACTGGATCAGTGACTTCCCTGGGAGTAAAGAGAGAGAGAGAGACAAGCTTCAGACCTTTCACTCTCCCCCATGTCCCCCTTAGAAGGTTATATGTGGGGTGGGAGGTTGAATAGGAGAGGAAGGTGGTCTCAGTGTCTCCTATAGTTCCCTCCCCAGACTCCCAATTGCAAGGACTCTGATTGTGAATAATTATTTGCATGTGGATTATCTGATTTTAAACTAGAAGGAACCTTGGAGAACTATTGTAGTGTGTAATGGAATGCATGCTGGACAGGGTGTCAGAAAGACCTGGGTTCAACTCTTGCCTCTGAAACTTAAAAGCTGGGCGGCTAGGTGGCATAGTGGATAGAGCACTGGCCCTGGAGTCAGGAGGACCTGTGTTCAAATTTGACCTCTGACCCTTACTGGCTGTGTGACCCTGGGCAAGTCACTTAACCCTAATTGCCTCAAAAAAAAAAAGGAAAGAAAAGAAAAGAAAAAGAAACTTACAAGCTTACAAGTTGTATGACTATAGGCAACACACATCTCTCTAAGCCTCAGTTTCTTCATCTGTAGAATGGGGATGGGGATAATACCTATAGTACCTACCCCACAGGGTTGTTGTATGGCTCAAAAGAGATGTTTGAAAAGCCCTTTGCAAATTGAAGAGGGTTATAAGAATGTTGGTTTTTATTTAGAAACTGAAGTCCAAGCCTCTTTTTTAGATGCAGGAAATAATGTAGAAAAAAGGGTGGTTCCTAGAGAGATGAGAAACCTGGGTTCTAGTTCTGGTTCTGTCATTAACTAGCTGTATAACCTTGAGCAGGCAAGTCATCCTATGTCTCTGGACCTCAGTTATCTTATATGTCAGATAGGGATAATAATGCCTTTATGGCCCAAAGGCAAGGGATTGGACCAGTTAGCCTGTAGAAGGCTCTTCTAATTCCAAGATCTGTGACATGAGAGGGTTTAGCTTCCCAAGGCTGACTTTCCTTTAGTATGTGAAGTGACAGGTGAGAACAGCCTCAGGGAATAACAGACATATTTTAAGGTCTGTCTGAGTGAAACAGACCTAGTGCCTGCAGGCTCAGAGAATCACAGAGTCGAGCTGGAGAAGACTTTAGAAGTCATGAGGATACAACATCACTTTGTCTATCTGTCTATCCATTCATTCATCCATCCTTCCATCCATCCATCTATTTATTTATTTATTACAAATGATGACATTGAGGTCTCCAGAGAGATTAGGTGACCTGCCTGGTGTCACAAAGGCAGGCAGCATAAGTAAGCAGTAGAGCCAACACTTTAACACAAGGCCCTCTCCTGCCATACATAGTGAGTGCATGCTAAATAGGTCTCTTTTATTTAATAGAATTGAAGGAAGATTTGCTGTTGAATACAAAGAGATCTTTGATTGAATCCCAAAGACAATATAGAGCATTGATTTTTTTAAATCACTACTTTGGATTATTGGCGTTATTACTCCCCAAGATAATCCAAGTCAGTCAGTCAGTCAACAGGTATTTATTAAGCGCTTAGTTACTAGCTGTGCGACCCTGGGCCAGTCACTTAACCCTGTTTGCCTTAGTTTCTTCATCTGTAAAATGAACCAGAGAAGGAAATGGCAAACTACTCCAGTATCTCTGCCAAGAAAACCTCAAATGGGGTCATGAAGAGTTAGACGTGACTGAAACGATTGAACAACAACAACAAATATGCCAGGATTGTGCAAAATCAGTGATATTGTGGTCTGGGCCGAGGATGTCAGACAAGGCCCTGGAACCAGATTAAAATGTCATTGGGAAATATTTAACAAAATAAATAAAAACACAATAGGATATAGATAATGTGAATATGTGGTTGTCGAAGTCAATATGTGTTCCATTGGAGTCTTTGTGTACTATTAAGTGACCTCCATTTCTATTGGAGTTTGACAGCACTGGTCTGGGGAAACTACTGCACTTTGTGGAGTCTCAGCCCCAGAGCTTTGGTCAGTTGCCTGTTGTTTTTGAGTGTTAAAGATGAGAAGCCTGGAGCAAGACTGGAGGTGGCCCTGAGGGCCCTAGTGCCTTTTATGTACCCTCTTTTCTTGTCCCAGAATCCCTTAACTCAAGCAGGATCCACTCTCCACAGACTGAGGATGGTCCCTTTCTCACCTCCCTCTCCGCGCTCCAATCCCTGGCCCACTCACCTCTTGCCCGTTTCCCCATCAGTGGGTAGAATTGGCCTGTCTTTCTTCTTTTTACCTCCTGTACCAACGGCTGCAGTGAAATCCTTGGCAACTCTCCTTCCTAGAAAAGCCCGAAGTGAATTGAGGGTGAAGCAATAATAATAACTGGAGCTCCCATAGGCACTTTCAGATGTGCAAACCTGCTTTATGTGCATTGTCTTATTTCAGCCTCACATACCCTGCGAGCCAGGAACCCTGGGTAGCATTATTATCCCCATTTTACAGCTACTGTGTAGTTGCTGTTTGTTTTTTTAAACCTGTGATTTCACTGATATAGGGATTTCCTAGTGAGGAAATTGCTTCTACCAAGGCAGGTTGGAACCTTTTTTCTCTTTTATAGTCTTAGAGAATTGCCTAAAGCACAGAGATTCAGTGACTTGCCCCAGGATCACACAGCCATTATGTTGCAAGGGCTACTCCGTGATGTTTCTGGCATTTGAACCCAGGTCTTCTTGATGGTCAAATCCAGTATTTTAACCACTAGTTAAGAGGCCTCAGTAGTGAAGCCTGGACCCCTGGATGCCATAGGATTTCCCTATGGCATCAGGGATCTAAAACCAGCCAGTTGGAAGAATGTCTCCAACCTTGACAAGGAAGAAGAAGCTAAGGAGCTTAGTTCAGCATGACGTTCCCCTCCCTCTGCTTCTCCCGCCGATTTTCCCCAGCATGATCATCCCTCCTACTTCCATGTTCTTGTTGCTGTTTTGATATTGTTAGGTGACCCAGACTGGGCTTACCCCCTCCCTAAAGGGAACCCCAGTAAGGATACAGCGTGAGAGGGGTCTGGGATATTGCCAGGGACATAGAAACAGCTGCTCTGATATTTGATGGATCTCAAAGCCTTAGTTCAAATCCTAGTTTCTCTTCCGTGACAGGGCCCAAGTTCTTCATCATCTCTGAGATTTCTCCAACTTCCCACTTACCAAGAGGTGACTGATCACCTGCCTTTGGGGAGAGAGAATCTGAGTGAGGTCGGTTCAAGCCATTTATCAGCCTTAGGCTAATAGGTCATGGAAAGAACACAATTTGGAATCGGGACTTAAATCACAGATGTTCTTACTACTTGTGTGTCCTAGAGAAATTGCTTAGCTTTTGTGAGTCAAGTCAACAAGCATTTATTAAATGCTTGCTATGTGCCAGGTACTGTGCTAAGTGTCAGAAGAAAGATGGTCCCTGTCCTCAAGGAGCTTACAGTCTAATGGGGGAAGATAGCACATGAATGGAAGCTGAAAGGGCCTACGGAGATGGCCTAGGGCATGATGGAGAAAGAAGTCCAGGGATTCTGCAGTGGAGAGGGAGCAAACCATTGGGCTTCGTTTTCCTCATCTGTAAAATGAGAGTTGGTTTGACAGCCTCCCAAATTCCAGCTCTAAAAGCCATGAAATTCCTTATGACTTGCCTTACCCAATGAGGTGGGGGCCTCCTCTGATTATGTGTAAGACAAGGGTTGACAGCCCCTAGGAGTGAGTTTAGGGGAGGGAGATGGATATGATGTCCTCTGGGAAAGCCTGTGCCAGAAGGATGTCAGGGAAACACAGAGAGAGATGCCACTGACCAGTGGGGATCACATCAGGATGGGGGGAGGAGGTAGGTTATATAAACCACCTTTGATTTTCACAGCCTGTCTTCTTCTGAGCAGTCTCTGGGATGAGGAAGTGGGATGTTTTCTAAGCCCTGGGCTGATTCAGTCACTTCCAATCAGTCTCCTCCCAAAGAACATCAGTCCCAATCCATCTGTCTCCAGGGCTGCAGTTTCTCAGCCAGACAGGGAACCTGAAAAGTCACTTTGGAGATTTGGACCCACTTGTGAAAAGCTCTTTGAAAACCACTTAACCTGGGGAAAAGGCTAACTCTTGGAAGACAAGTTTAGAAAAGGAGTTGTTTGTTCCAGTGTGAATACTGGGTAGTTCCGTGAGTCTTCTGTTCTGTGTCTCAGAAGAAACCACCTAACTGGTGAAATAATGGAATTTTAGAGCTGGAAGAAACCTTAGAGACCATCTAATCTACTCCATCCACTTTCCAGAGGCAGAAACTAAAGTCAAGAGAAATTGACTTGCTAATGAATATCAGAGCTCAGGATTTGAACCCAGGTCTTCTGACTCCAAAACTACAATGCCCCTTAAAATTTTTTTAAAATAAATTTTATTGTTGCCTTTTGTTTTTACACCCCACATTCCTGTATATACTGGCCCCTGCATAACAACAACAACAAATTTTTTTTCATTACGAAAATGAAAAACAGATAAATCCAACTGATACAGTGACCTCATCAGACAATATATGCAGTTATGTACCTGTAACCCCACTCTTTACTACTATTGGGGTGGTGCTTCTGTATCTCTTCTCCGGAGCCCAAATTGGTCAGTATAATTACCTGGCATTCCCCTTTGTTTTACTGTCCTTTTTTGTTTACCTTGTTACACTTGCTGACTTTTCATCCTGCCTGTTTGCCTGTAGGACTGCAGAGAAGCCATCCAGGCCCAGCAGGGAGCTCCTCCTTCCAGGGCAGGAGCCCCGGGTTGCCTCTTACCTACAGTGTAAGTCCTCTGTCCCTCCCACTGTGGTCCAGCTCCCAAAACCAAGACAGAGAAAAAGAAATGGGACTGGACCAAGCTGTAGCACAAGATGCTGACCCTGGGGAATCTCTTCCTTGTCTATGGCCTTCACCGTTTGTTTATTAATTTATTTAAGCCACTGGCAACTCTGTATCTGGACTTTGAGGGCTCACCACAGCAAAGGGAGAACCATATCCATCCCCAGCCAGCCTCCTCCCTGCTCCGAAGCAGGTTGCTGGGTATCGTCAGGGCTGTCAGTGTGTTGTATCTGAGAGAATCACCGAGCCACAGAACATCTGGGCTGGAAGGGCCCATAGGGATCACGGAGTCCAAGAGCCTCATTTTATAGATGAAGAAACCGAGACCCGGAAGGGAAAGTGACTTGCCCTCTAATCACACAGCTAAGTAGCAAGACTGGGACTTGAGTCCAGGTCTCTTAAATCCCTGGCCTTGGACATTTACTAGCTGTGTGACTCTGGACAAGTCACTTAACTCTGTTTGCCTTAGTTTCCTCATCTGTCAGATGAGCTGGAGAAGGAAATGGCAAATCACTCCAGTATCTTTGCCAAAAAACCACAAATAGAATCAGGAAGAGTCAGACACGATTGAAAACAACTCAATAACCCTTAACACTCGGTCTAATGCTCTTCCACACTGCCTCCTGCTATACTCAATGTAACTAAGTTACATAAAACATAAAATAATTTTAAAAAGCCATTTATTAAGCACCTACAGTGTACCATAAACACACTAGAGATACAAAAAGAGACCAGACAGCCCCTTCCTTCAAGAAGCTTGCAGTTTGGTAGGGAAACAACATGCAAACAAATACTAAGCTACATACAGGATAAATAGGAAATAATTAAAAGAGGGAAGGTATTGGAATTAAGAGGGGTTGGGGAAGGCTTCTGGTAAAAGATGAGATTTTGATTGGAACTTAAAGGAAACCAGGGATAAGTAACTGGATAAATAAGGAAATCATATAAAATGTGGCTGAACCTTTTTTGAAGTATTTCTTTTACCGATCTATAGCCTGGCAGTTTTACATTAGTATGGAACGTTAGAAATTTACTGCATTTGTAGGCTCATTTCTAAGGGTTAGAATGTTCCCAGGCCCCAGTAGAACTGTCCCCCAAATTCAATTTAGTTTGCTTTTAGCAGCTCTAACACTCTCCCTTCAATTAGAATGCAGAGGAGCCGGGTTTAGCTAGAGCTCTAACTAGGATGGGACCATCAGAGTATTGGTGGCAGGTGCCAGGTTTAGTGGGTGCTAAAAGCAACCTGCAGTCACATTGGGGGTAGAAACAAACAATTGAATTTAGCAGCTAGTTAGCAAGAAGAGGTTTTTGTTGTTATTGTTTATCCTTCATTTTCGGGGCAGCAAGAAGAATTAGCTGAAATGAGAAGCTGCCAAACAGCCCACTTCCTATACATAGTGGAAGGTAAGTTTTTCTCCAGCTTGACCCCATCCTGCCTTGTAAATGGCCTCCCCCAAAGTATTCGGGCTTAAAAAGTTAGGTTGAAAAAAAAAAGTTAGGTTGAGGGCAGTTGCTTGCTGCTTGCCCTGTCCTTAGTTTTACTGCCCTGGGAGCAAATATTCCAAGATACAGATCTTCCAGAGTGGTTCTTCTAGACTTTCCTGCTTTTCCCCACTTCTCCTGACTTCTAGGAAACTCTTCCTGACTCACATTCCCTAGCATATGCCCTCCCCAAACAAGCCCAGAGTCTGAACTCTATTATTTATCTGCATTTGCCTTTGCCCGGCCCAGGCGAACAAGGGGAACCCTCGTCTTCTTTTTTGTGATTCTACCCAAAGTGACCAGTGCAGGGTGTTTAATCTCAAGGTCGGGGGAAGATAATGGGCACTCAGTCAGTTCAGGAAATAAAACACTGAGGTTTTTACTTCAGGTAATGAAAGTTGTTCCTCTGTCGAAAGCCTTCCTCTTTAAGGTAGATACCATACTTCCATCATAAATTTAACCTCATCCACATACATATGCACAGAATCAGTATAACTGGGAATAAAGGGCAATGCATTTATTTGGTCAGGGGGCTTACATCTGAATCCCAAGCCCATCACTTAGTACCAGTGTGATTTTGGGCAAATCACTTTATCAATCTAGGCTTCAATTTCCTCATCCATAAAATAAGGAAGTTGTATTTGATGATCTTGAAGGTCCCTAAATGATCCTATGATCTCTCAGCACACACACACACACACACACACACACACACATACATGTCCATACATGTAGCAGCAACACAACACCAGCATCCGGATACAGCATATACATTCAAGCATACACACATATAAGTCTCCTTGAAGCATCATTGAAATATAAAGGATTTGTTCTCCATCCCCCTATAAAAAGTTCTGGAGATGAGGGCTGAGTTCCTCTAGCCCAGAGGTTCTGAATCTTTTCTGTGTGTCATGGACACCCTTGACAGTCTGGTGAAGCCTGTGGATGCCTCAGAATCATGTTTTTAGAGAAGGAAATAGCTAAAT